AATACCTATTTAAAAAAAAACCCTTCTCTAATCCATCCATTTCAGCTATCTCTCACACATATCAGTCCATCTTCCCAGGTTACTGTGATAGCCTTTTAACTGGAGTTTCTGCTTTTAATTTTCTTAAATTTATTCTCTATTATACAGCTAGAATAAGCTTTCTAAATTTTAAATCTGATTTGTGACACCTAGTTTTAAGGCATTACAATTATTCTGCCAATGTACTATAGTGTAGTATAATGAAGTTTAAACTTCTTTCCTTCCTTTCTTTATTTCTTTTTGAGATAGGGTTTCACTATTCATTTCAGGCTGGCTCAAATTCGTGGCAATCTTTCTGCCTCAGCCTCCTCAGTGCTGGGACTATAGGCGCGCGCCACCATGCCTAGGTAAACTTTCCTTTTCTCTCTAACCTTTTACTTCTTCCTTTTTCTACTTCCAAATTCAGTAGATACACAAAATTATAAATCTCACACATGTAACACTTAGCCGCCCTGTTCTTTTATTTCATTTTTTTAACCTATCTAAACCCAATAATGTACCACTTTAGTGTACTTTTGTTAAGTAGTTACCCCTAGAACAACTTTTTAAAGGTATATGGTAACTATCTTCTTACCTGTGCCTCTTCCCTTAATAAGCTTTTTAGATACAGACTGTGTATTCCACAATAATAATATTCAATACCAAGGATCTAAAAAAACAGTATGGAATATAGAAAAAATTTGAATAGTAGATGAAAAGTCACAGAATTCAACTATGTTCCCCAAAAGAGTTTATGTTGTGGTTTTAATCCCTAGTATCCTAATGTGACCTTATGTGGAAATAGGCTACAGCAGAGGTTAAATTAGTTAAGATGAGGTCACTGGGGAGTATGTAAGACCTTAATCCAATGACTGGTGAACTTATAAGAATAGAACAGACACAGACACAGACACTTGAGGGAGAATAAGATGACAGATACTGAAGCTGAAGCACTATGACTACGAGCCACAGAACGCCCACTGAAGATTGATAGCAAAATAGTAGAGGCCAGGAAGATGTTTTACAGGATACATGACCACTGCCATGTTTTAGAGAGTACATGACCATATTGAACTTTGGTTTTGGACTTCTGGCCTCTAGAACCATAAGACAACAAATTTCTGTTTTGTTTAAAGCCACTCAATTTGTGGTACTTTGTTATGGTAGTTCTAGGAAACTAACATAACATCTGTGTTAAAATATTTGGTAAACAAATTTAAATTTCAAAGGTACCTAATTTCCTTGTCCCTCCATATCTCTAATTCCCAATCTTTCCCCAAAAGATAGGTAAAAATCAGCCAACGTACATAGAGTTAGTGAGGTAAATTTGAATATCACAATATTAAATGATAAATTATTTAATTCACACATTTGACAATCAAGACTCGCAGATCTGTGAAACAACTGAAATTTCAGAATAAACCCATGTCTGTATGGGCAACTGATTTTTAGCAGGGGTGCCAACGACATTCAACAAAGAAAACTTGTCCTTTCAACAATGGTGCTAGGACAACTGGATATCCATAAGTTGGAACCTTATTTCATAAACAAAAATTAACTCAAAATGAAACAGAAATCTAATTTTAGGAATTAAAACTCTTAGAAGAAAACACAGAAATAAATCTTCCTGAAAACAAATTTGGCAGTGGATTCTTAGACGTGACACCAAAAGCACACATAAACATCAAATGAAATAGGTAAAGTGGCTTTCACTACAATAGAAAATTTAGTGTTTCAAAGACACTATTAAAAAAAGAAAATCTATGGGAGAATAGGAGAAAATAATAAAAAATCTTTTATCTGACAAGGAACCTGTATTTAGAATATACAAAGAACTAGATAAGAAAAAGATAAATCTAATCCAAAATGAGCAAAGGAAATGGTCTTAACTACAAATGAGCAAAATGAATACATATTTTCCAACTAAAAAGATATACAGTAAATAAGTATATGAAGAAGATATTCAAATCATTAATGAACAGAGAAATGGAAATCATATTAAGGCTGGACATGATGACACACACCTGTAACCCTAGCACTCAGATCACTGAGAGTTCGAGGCCAGCCTGGGCTACATAGTGAACTGAAGGCCAGCCTGAACTACACAGTGAGGCCTAGTCTCAAACAAACAAACAAACAAACTCCCCTAAAACCCCCAAACATATTAAGATACCAATTCAAACCTACTAGGATAGCTAGAATCAAACTAGGTAATAACCAGCGCTGTCAAGAATAATGAGATACCAGAATCATTTGACTGGTGGTAGGAATGTTAAATGGTACAGTTACTTGGAAAACAAGCCCTGAAAAGGTTAGACACAATGAACACATCATCTAATAATTCCATTCCCACAGACATACCAGAAAGAACAAAAAGTAAATGTTTAAAATGTATACATGAATATGTCTAGCAAGTCTATTCACAACAGCCGAAACATGGAAACAGTCCATGTTCAATAATGGGTAATGGCTAAATAAACTATGATGTGTACCCACAATGAAGTATTACTCAGCCCTTAAAAAGGAATGAAAATTCCTAAGATTATAAGCTCAATCAATGGTGATGTACTTGCCTACCATGAAGAAAGTCCTAAGTTTGATCTCCAGTATGGCAAGGGGAAGAAGAAAAAGAAAAAAAAAGAATGAAAATGAACACTTGTGACACCAAGAAAGAACCTTAAAAATATGCTCAGCCAAAAAAGTCACAAAAGGCTACATAGTATATGATTCCAATTATATAAAATATCTAGAATAGGACATCTATAAAGATAGAAATAGATTAGTGGTTGCTTTCAGCTAGTGGGATTCAGGTATGGATAACAGCTTAACAGTACAGGATTTTTCAGGTGATGAAATTATTCTTAAACTGTGGTAATGGCTGCATACAGTCTATGAGTAGATTAAAAACTCTAGTATACATTTGAAAATGGGTGAGTTAGATAGCATATAACAGCTTAACAAAGCTGCTAAAACATAAATATTTTATTATGCATAGACAATAAAAAGTATTCTTCAGATTCTGATCTGGCACATTATGCCATATAAGATTTAATAAAAATAATAAATACAAAACATCAGATTAGTGGGGTGTGGTGGCATATGCCTTAATCCTCATATTCAGAAGGCTGAGGCAGGAGGATCATCGAGAGTTTGAGGCCAGCCTGGGCTACAAAAGAAAGTTCAAGACCAGCCTGAACTATATAGTGAAATCTTGCTCCCCAAAAAGCAAAAACAAAAAACTGCACATCATATTAGTGTATATGACAAGATCCTGTTTCAAAAAACTTAAATAAGCAATGATTATAACATAATTAAATTTTGATTATAAAGATTTCATCTAAGCCTTTGTAAAGATATTGAACTAATTTACCTAAAACAAAATATTTTTCATCAGGTTTTAAAAAATAGCAAATTTCCACTCTGATCAACTCTCAAAATCTAAGTAATTTATCAGCACATCTTCTAATATGTCAAAGTTCAATGAAACTGTTTTACTAAGAATGCGTTAAAGAGATACTATGTACCTGCTGAAGTAGGATATATACCACTACATATTCCTAGTGCTGAGTTTTTCCTAAATTTTGTCTAAGCCTTCTGTAATAGTGGTTCTCTGACTTTTGTTCTGACCCCTTGTGCTCAAAATTATTAAGGATCAGTGGGCCTTTTTTTATGTGTTACATCTGTTGAGATTACTATTTTAGAAGTAAAACTGAGTATGTCTAAAAGTATTTACTAATTCATTAATTTTAACAAATCCACTATGTTAATACTATATAACACTTAAAAATTTTAAATTCCCAATTTTTGCTGCCATGTTTTAAAAATATATATGGTTTAATAAAAGATTCTATCTTCTGCTCTTCCTGTGATACTGTATATCATACAGATGCTGGAAATCTCACTGTATACATCTTGCATGAACGCAAATAAAATAATTATTCTTACACTGTTGACAAATTGGAAGATAAATGTTTTAAAACAAATATGGAAGAATAGTAAGTAAAATGACACTACAGGAAACAAACAGATGAATTCTAAATGTGTGATACTTTTCAAAATAATTTCTTCAATGACTCAATGGCACGCAGATAAAGTGGAAGCACTAAGAAATAAAACAAATTATCTTTTTTTTTTGGTGCTGGGGATTGAATTCATGACCTAGCACTTGCTAGGCAGGCACTTATGCCACTAAGCTAAATCCCTAGCAACAATATCTTGAATGGACCTTGACAGAGCCTATTTTGAAGATGGACTATAAGCAGACATCTCTGAAACAATGGGGTACATAATTTGAAAAGGTTCAGTGTACAAAGTGATTTAGAAGTCTCTGTTACTTTTCTATGGTATAGATGGTTATGTACCAAAAGATCTGCTCTGGGGTTAAAGGGGAACATAATGAAACACACAGTAAAACGAAATGATAAATTCTAAAAACTACATTTTAGGTTGCAATTGGATGGCTCTAGACAATAATCTCTGTTACTACACATGAACTACTAGAGGTAATTTAAACTACAGCAAGGTATTAATTTGTATCTTTAATATTATGGACACTCACAATTTAGTAAATTAATACATTGCCAGGTGTGGTGGTGCATGCCTGTAATCCCAGCACTGGGGAAGCTGAGGCAGGTGACACAAGTTTAAGGCCAGCATGGGCTACATAATGAGTTCAATGCCAGTTTGAACTACATGGGGGAGTCTTCCCCATGTAGAAAGAAGCAAACAAAAGAAAGAAGCAAACAAAATCCTCCCCTCCCCCAAATCCCACACCTTATTTTTAAAAAGTGTAAGTGAATGCAAGTCAGGCCCAAGATAAACTAGTATTTATTTATCTTTCATTATTTCATGAACCTTGCTTATACTTCAATACCCCTCCTGTTAATACCTTACTCAGTATACATTCTATATTGTCCTCTATGCATGGCAAAATACTATCCAGCTTGTTGTTCCATTAGAAGTAACCATATGGAAAGACTTACACTGGTCACTCGACGGTAGATCTGCGCAGCATTTTGGCACTCCGAGTATGGATATTCAGATGTAGCCATCTCAAGCATGCACATTCCAAAAGCATAAACATCAACAGATTCATCATATTTCTCTTCATACATCTCAGGGGCCATGAACTCTGGGGTACCTGAAATTAAAAGAATAATTCAGACTCAATGTAAGCTGCAGATGTTACTTACCAGGGGAAAGAAGCAGAGGGATTGGGGGGAGACACTGAAGGGGGAAAAAAAAATGGGAGGAGGAGAAAAACACCTTTTTAGTCAATTTGCTCTACCAAATACTCCACACACAAAAATCATCTACTGCAAGGCCTTTATTGAGAAACTGGACAGGGTCAAGTATCTGATTATATACCATTTAAAATAGAATCCTGTTCCACAGCATGTCAGAGCCCTGACTAAGAGGTAAACTAACATGATTCATGCCAACAATAAATGAAAGCAAATAGTAAGAAACTAGCAGGGAACAAAGCAAATATAATGTCAACAGCCTATAAAAATGATAGGTTTTAAACATTCAATACTTGTCTGCCCTCTACTGTATGGTAGCTGCAAAGTCAACACTTACAATTAGTCTCTTGCATTAACAACACTCCATCTGATCAGCTTCAGTTTTTAAGGAGGGCTTGCAGTGAAATATCTTGTATTTATTACACTTTCAAAGATAATAAAATGTAAGTAAATTGTCTATAAAGGCCACTTACCAGACCCCTGTTTTCAAGTACTCACTTGCAATACATAAAAAAATCTATTGCAGGTGCAGAAAATAATAGTGAAGGGCATCCTACAGGCAAAATAACCCTAAATACATACACACCAAAATAGAACTCAAACACAAACTGATTATGAGCATAGGATCTGTGATCCTACAAGACTAGATTATACAATGTTTCAAAATAACTCTTTATACTTCAAATTATAGGGCACTTCCAAGAACAAGCTTGTATTCTACGACTTAATAAACAAAGACTTAATCTCTTGGGCTAGAGATTTTTAAAATGTCAAAGACAAGGAAAGAAATGCTTCCTTGAAGAAAGAAAAATGAATTCAGCTTCAAATAACTTTTTTCCATTCTTCTTATTAAAACTTATAAAACAATATAAATAAAATCAGCTTTCCAAAATCCTAGTTATACAGGACACTTCTATTTTGTAACAGTGTACAAAGTATTCTAAGCTTTTCATATTAATACTGAGGGTTCTTCCCCATTTAATCTCTTCAGAGACCGAAAGCTTATCAAAATAGACATTATTTTTGTTGGCTGTGATTCTTAACATATGCTTTAACTCTGAAAGGACATTATCATCCTTTATATCACTGATTCTCATGAGAAGGTGACTTTGCCCTCCCCATAGAGTACTTCTGTTGTAATAATCATGGGTGGGTGGCCAAATGATATGCTACTGGTATTTAGTGGGTAGAGGCCAGAGATGATACACTAAATAATCCTACAATGCATAAGACAGTTTCTTGCAAAAAATGTCCATTCATAAACATTCATAGTTCTAAGGTTGAGAAATCTGTTTTAGACACATCATAACTTCTGAAGAGTGAGAAAAGAAAAAAGTAAAATCAACTTTTCAAAAAATGCCACATTTTCAAATAGAATTTTAACAAGTAAATATTTCATATATTTCAGAAACCAAACTATATACATATAAATTCCATTTAGTTCATGAAGAAAGGGACACACTGTTATCTACTATATAAATAATACACAATATTAAGTATCAGACTGACTCAATAAGACTGTTACATGAAGTTTTGTCAAAAAATATTCACCTTAAACTTTATAAAACATTAAAAGCCTTCAAGATGATTCCAAAAACAAGTATAGAGAATTCCACACTTCACAAGTAGAACTCATTACCTTTTAGGTTCAAGTTATCAATTCTAAAGGTATATTCATGTCAGCAAAGCTTGGACAGAGTCAAGTTTCTAAATAAAAGTAACATGAAAAGGCCACCCAGGCTCCAAGGTACATTTGAAGCATACCTATCACACTCTTGGCAAAAGAAGCCCTCTTCAAGGTTGCCAGACCAAGGTCTCCAATCTTGACTGAGCCTGTAGGGCCAGTAATAAAGATGTTGTCACATTTAAGATCCCGGTGAATAATAGGTGGAGTTCGAGTGTGAAGAAACTGAAGTCCTTTAAGGATCTGCCGGCACCAGCTTCTTAGAACTTTGATCTTCATCACTTTAAACCTTTTCAGGTACCTAGAAAAAGCAAAGTACACCAAATGGGTTATCAGTGATATGTGTTTGTTGCTTTGAAGAATTTCATTAAATTCTAGCATGCCAAAGATGGGAATATCAAATTTAGAATATTAAGATTCAGTAACTTTAAAAGTTAAATACTTTCAGTGAAGTTAAAAAGGGGCTCCAATAGCTCAAAATAGAAAATTCTATAAAGAAAAATAAATCTTCTAAGTACGTCCATTTAAATTGGCTACCGAATTATGGTAGTTTTTTTCTTAAGGGACACGTCAGGTTGACTGGGTCAGTTTTAGCAGCATCTAATTCACAGATGAAAATTTTAAGTTAGCAGTAGGTAAGAAAATTCTAACGAAAAAATGAATTACTTCAATCGGTTCATATTAAAATGACTACGAGGTAGGCAGAGTTAGGTAAATGGGATGGAGTAGCTCCTATTAGTGGTAGATGATTTATGAATTCTAGTAAAATCATACAAAACCATTCATTTGACAGTAATCAAAACCAGTCATAAACTGGAAGTGAGGTCACTTCCAGATGAAGGAAAAGCAGTATTGGGGCTTCCTGTTTTCTATACCTTTTAAACTAAAAGAGGGCCCCAGCCAAACTAGATAGGCCAGTTAAAACCCAGACACAATAGGCATCTACTTTGAAGACAATAAGATTCACTATGATACCCATTCTGGTTTGACTATTATCTTCTTTTGAAGTCCTGTAATGTCTCCAATGTTTCTTTTTTATTGCTTTGTTCTGTACTGTTTTGTTCAATTTTATTATACCTGATGATATGGGCAATTTTTTTGAAGATAGCAAGAGGCATCGTTGCTCACCTTGTATTTTGTTTTTACGTCATGTACTATGTCCATTCTTTTGTTCTGACTGACTCTATTTTGTTTTGTCATACTTGGTTTTATTCTCTTCAAGAAAAAAGTAATAAGAACTGTAGGAGTAATAAAACCCAAAATGCGTAATTGTTATTGTAAAAAAGAGAGGAAAGAAAGTGCTCTAAAGGATATAACTGCATGAATGTTTAAGTGTGTAAGATAGCAACCATATTACTAAGTTCTTGTTGGATGGTTGAACAGAACTGTTTGCAGTATCACTGTTTGAATGTCCACTTTGTATGCTTTGATTTTGTAATTTGAACAACTATTTCTAGGATGACAATATGTGAACTATAAACTAGTGATTTTTTATTGTTTTTTTTTTGAAATTCTGTATTACTTCTACCATTTTTTCTGTTTTCCTTTTTTCCTTTTAAATAAAATTAAAAAACAAAAACAAAAAAACCCCAGACACAAGAATAGTGCTTGGAATGATTATAATATTGAGGAGTGTTATCTAATAGAAATGTTTACAATGATAGCTTGTCTAGTAAAGTACTCACTAGCCAAAAGTGAATAAATTTATAAAACTGTATTTCTAAGGTGCAAGAACCATAAACATTAAATGATCTCACTAATGCATAATAAACATTTACCTCATAGAAACTCATGGTAATTGAGTGGTTATTAGAGGTTACAGAAAACTGGAAGGGAGGGATGAGGAAATGGTGAGTAGTCACATAGTACTCTAGTGCACAGAGGGATAACTATATAATGAATATGTACTGTACATCTGAAACAGCTAGAAGAAAGGATTTTGAATGTTTTTATCATAAAGAAATGATAAATGTTTAATATGCTAACCATGATAGGAATATTATACAACATATATACATGTATTGAAGCATCACTGGCACCTTTTTTATCTTTAAAAAATACATCAGGTTGGAGCATGCCTGTAATCCCAGCACTTGGGAGACTGAGGCAGGAGGACTGCTGCAAGTTGGAGGTCAGTGTGGGCTACAAAGAGAGTTCAAGGCTAGCCTAAACTACAAAGCAAAAAGACAAAAACCAACCAACCAACCAATCATCAAAAGTTACTTTTGGAGAGTAGAATCTGGTCCTGTGAAGGGCATAAGCATTTTGATATTACGGAAATGTTCTGTATATCAAAGAGTTTTGATAACACAAGTGAATGCCTTTGTCACAAAGTAGGTACATATAGGAGGATTACAAATTTGATTACTTATTAAGACCCTGCTTCAAGGCAAAAAGAAAAAAAAAATTAAAGATTGGGGGTATAGCTTATTGATAAAAAGGACATGGGTTCATTCCTTAGTACTACAAACAAAAAAGTAAAAACCTCAGTGGACCATACAATTGTGATTTATACTCTTTACGTAAGTTTCACTGCGAGGGTGAAAAGTTAAATACTGGAACTTCAGTTTATGAAATGCATATTGAAGAGTTTATAGGTGAAGTATACTGATTATCTACTACTGATTTTGGAATAAACAACAGATTGCTGATGGATGAATAGGTGGATACAATGCAAAAAGGCAAACGCAGCAAAAAATTAATAATGACAGAATCTAAAGGGTGAATATGTAGCTGTTCATAATTCTTTCAGTGTCTTTGTATAACTGAAAAATCTTTTAATGCTGGGAAACTTATGTCATTATGCCTCCCCATAAATTTTCTATTTTTAACCAAAAAGCTCAGAAAGTTAACTTTATCGTCTCTATTTTATTTTCCCAAAGCACTTCTCCATTTATAGAAAATCTGTATGTTCTTTATATCCTAGTTTAAATCTTACCATTTTGGTAAAAACCTTCAAAACTATCTAGTCTAAAAGGTCTGTGGGGGGGGGCAACTATACCCTCTTCACAATTGCTATTGAAAAGAAAATCGTATTTATACTTTGATTCACATTTCACAGAGACCCAATCTACAGGACACAGGTACAAGCAAGGTTATAGGACTGTTTGCAAAGACAGAACATACAAGAAAGAATCATATTCCTAGTATAATGACAAATGGAATTTTTCCAAATTCAGAGAAGCTAAATATGCTAAGACTAAGAAGTTATACACATACTTTTAGTTGAAACCACCACAATCATCTAGAGAAAGTAAAGCGGCAACCAGGCACAGCATGTACTACCAGTATGTATAATACTAAAAAAGAAAATTTCAGAAATAGGGTCATTCATTATGACTCATTTTTATTGACTCACTTTGAGAAAAGTCCCATACTCATAACCAGAGATCCAGCTACCAGCCTTCTGGTGCTGAAATATTCAAATCAATTCATAGTTAAATAGAGATAAATACTATTCCAAAAACTAAAGTTGAGGATAATGGTTGCCAAGTATTAAAGGTCTAAAAAAAAAAAAATATCAACAAAGAAATTTTAAAAGGAAACAAACAGAAATTTGGGAGCTGGAAAACACAGTAACTACAGATTCAATAATACCTGAGCACACAGAAGTAGCAGCATTCTTAGCTAGGTATAGTAGCAAACACTCACAATTCTGGCACTGGGAGGAGAGTGAGAACTTACCTTAAAAAAGAAAAAAAGTAGGCAAAACTTGAAGATTGTTCAATTGACTATATTCAGTTTGAGAAGCAGAAAGAAAAAAGAATGAAGAAAAATATACAAGTGCCTAAAAGATAAGCAGTATCCCATCCATCAAGCTGAAAAACATATATACAGATAGAGTCCCAGAAGACGAGGAGCTAAAGAAACAGGAATAATTAAGAATGGCCACAAATTTCTCAAATTTGATAAATAACACAAATCTAACAGTGGAAAAGCTCATCAAACCCCAAGAGAGATAAATGTATAAACACCCATGATACACATTATATTTAAACACATTATATTTAAAAGACAAAGACTATAGGAAAACTTTAAAAGCAGCAAGAAAAGTTATCATAAAGTAACCTCAACAAGAATATAAGGGAATTCTCAGCAGAAACCATGGAAATTGGGCAACAGCAGGAAACACAAAGTATTGAAGGAAAACACAAATCCTGCCAACTAAGAATTCTATAACCAGCAAAAATTGTACTTTGCAAATGGAGGAAAGAATGAGGCATGTGTGTATAAAGAAAAGTAGAGTTTCATAGTAGTACAGCAGTTCTACAAGAACTGCTAGAGAGAAGCCTCCAGAATAGACTAAAACCTAGATAATAACTTGAAATCATAGAAATAAAATCTCTGGTAAAGGTAACTACTTAGCTAAATATTAAAATCAATATTAACGTATTTTTATTTATAATTTTATTTCCTACATAATTTAAGAAGGCAAATGCATAAAACAATAATTGTAGGTACATTAGTGGGCACACAGGTACAAAGATATAACGTGTCAGAATAATATAAAAGGAGAGTAAACTATATAGGTGCAGACTTTGTATATACTTTTGTATATACTAGTGAGGCTAAAGTCAGTTATCAGTTACAGTTGATTTTCTGACTACACCAGTAGTTAGAAATTTTTCAGTAGTATGAGAAATTTTATGTTAATCGTGATCCTCAAGGTACTATAAAAATGTCTAAAAATTGTACACAAAAAAGGAAATGAAAAAGGAGTCAAAATGATACACTAGCCCCCAAAGGGTCAGTTCATCACAAAATTACTATTAACTGCAAATATACACAAACAACAGAGTTCACAACACACGAAACAAATATTGACAACTGAAAAATGCCATCACAGGTTCTGCAGCAGTACCTGAAGACTACAATATTCCATTTTCGATTATAGATAGAATATCTAGACAGAATATGAGTAAGGAAATAGAAGACTTGGGTACAATAAACCACTTAAAGGTAATGGGCAGATATAAAATAATTGCCCACTAATGGCTAAACATACTTTCAAGTATGCACAAAACATCACTAAAGACGAATTAATAATACAAATCCTTTTCCAACTGTATCAAAAAGTAGAAGAGGTGGAAATATTTCCTAAGTCATTCCATGAGGCTGGTATTACCCTGACATCAAAGATACCACAAGAAAACTATAGCAGTATTCCTTATAAATATAGATGCAAAAATCCTCAACAAAATATTAGCAAATCAAATCTAATTGCAATGTAAAAATTATACACCATAACCAAATGGGATTTAGTCATGAAATGCTGGGGATGACTCAAAACAAGAACATCAATTAGCATAACATTCCACAACAGACCAAAAGGGGAAATATCACGACCATTTCTATAAAAAGCATTTGAGAAAACTTTTAACACTTTTCTATGACAAAAATATTCAAAGAATTATGAATAAGAAAACTTTCTCAAAACAACAATGGAAAACGCATACCTAACATCATATTCATTTTTCAAACACTGAAAGCTCTCATCCTTATTTCCATCTTAAAACCAGAAATAAGAGCGTAACAACTGTTACTTAACATTGTACTGAAAGTTCTACCCAGAACAATTAGGCAAGGAAAAGAGAGGTATCCAAGCAGAAAAAGAAAAAATAAAGTATTTCTATTCACAGATAACACAGTTGTACATATAAATACCAGACAGAAGGCAACATATGCATAAGCCTAAACTAATAAAAAGAATGTGACAATGCTGTATGAGTACAAGATCAACATAAAAGTCTATTGTAGTCATGTATGTATCAGCTATTAACAATCTGAAAAAAATTATGAAAACAACTCCATACGTAATAACACTCCATGAAATAAGACACCTACATACTTTTTCCTTAATTCATTTAGATAATGCTAGGAAGTAAAGTCTAGTGGGAAAAAGCAAGTATGTAAATAACAAGAAGCCTCGATGAGCAGGAAAATGGCAATGTTATAGAGATGAAGTTTTTTAGAGAAATTAAGCGTTTATGGGATAAAAATGAGATGTTAGATTTTTCACATGTTACTATGGAGGTTTCAAAGCTTCCAGCAAGTGATTAAATGCAAGACTAAAAGATTTGAGATTAACCAATTCAGTACTATTAACTTTAAAAAGCCTAAAACAAATTTATACCACGTAATTTGCATAGACTCCCCTCTGAATACAGATACTCCATGAAACATGAGTTTCCAAAGGCAGAGTCTAACTCTTCCCTAAAGCTCTTTAAAATAGGTAACGGAATTTCTGCATGTTACCCGTTTCCCTTGAAGGAATGACAGGTATGGCTATTTAGGCTTTAGTTTATGATGCTATGGGAAATAGGAATAGAAATAATGCTTAGTGAAAACTTACACCACAAACCATAGTTGATACAACAGATGCAGAGATGCAGCAAAAACCTAAACAATGTGATAAAACACCACTAGAGGGCAACCTTGACATTTGATTTGTTAGTCATTCGATTTTAGAAATGCCAGTATGACTTAACTAGGTTTATTCTGCAATAATGTCTCAATTCAATGTTATCAATAAATAATTATCAAATCACTTTATACAGCAGAAGATTTTATGGGCAAGGAAACACGTTAGTATAGTAACAGTTGTAAGGATTATTGCCTCCTTAGGTTGGGCCAATAAAGTAGATTTGGTAGAGCTGAAACATGAAAAATAGTCTTGTACTTCTTGGTTAGTTTTTATAATGTCAACAAACTTACGTTTTAAGTGTTCCAGATGTCATAAGTTCAGTCACCAAAACAATGCATTTCTTTCCTTTGACTGTGGATTCCCAGGAATCATAAAATCTGACAATATTGGGATGTTGAAGACCCTTTAACATTTCAGCCTCTTCTTTAAATCTCTGCCTTTCAGACTTCGTTAATTTTCGGTCCTAAAATCAAAAACCAAAATAGGATGTAGATTAAAATAATAAAAAAGCCATACAATTGAATTAAAATTTTAAGCAATATCATTAAAATAGGAACACCAAAGTTAACTTATAAAACTCATCAGACTATCTTAAGAACATAAGAACAGACTAAAGTATGCTTAATAAAGTTTTGGATTTAATACCCCTGCTGCTAACATGTCTTAGATACATAGTCTCATTTTGTAACGTGAGTTAATTCACTGCTTCCAAAATTGATGATTTATAGAGAATAGGTACTGAATTCAGAAGCAAAAAGATCTAAATCAAATTAAGAGCTCTATCTTGGTACTAATTACTAAACTTTTGGTAAGAAAACTTTTTTATAAATTTATAAATACCACGTCATTGGATTTTTGTGTTAAATATTTAGTAAGTATGTTTTAATCATGTTTAAACTACCTGATCCTTTGCTGGCCTCTTGAGATCCAGTATGGACTGCGTGAAATTTGTTATTTACCCTTTGACAATACCCTACATATTACCCTACAAATTTTTCACTGCTTTGTGAATTAAATTTGAAACTCTAAGCACGAAATATTTCAGGTATAAAATAGGTCTATTACTCTGTTAAAAGATTTAAACATTACAGATTTAAATTAAAAACCCCCTTATGTAGCTAGTTTACCTTCCTCATTCCTATTCCTTACACTTGAAAAGTCACTATTCTGGATTTACACATACAATGTTTTATATATTTTAATGGAATATCTGAATATATCACAATTCACATAATCACTAATCACTTTGGGGGGGGGTCTTTCTGAAAGAAGGTTTCACTACACAGTTCAGACTGGCCTCAAACTCACAGCGATCCTCCTGCCTCAGTCTCCAGAGTGCTGGGATTACAACCATGCACCACCATGCCTGGCCTTTAAGGGAGTCTTTAAACTCTTTCTCATTAGTTGCTACTACAATACTTCAATAATATGCGATTGTTTTTTTCTTTTCCAGCAGCAGAATCCAAGGTGTTCAAACTGAACTACATCCCCAGTCCTTTTTCCTATTTGTGTGAAACAAGGTCTTGCTGAATCACTAAATTGCCCACACTGGGCTAGAACTTGCAACTCTCCTGCCTCAGTTTCCCAGAGTACTGGGATTACAGGTGTGTGCCACCCATACCTAATGTCACAATGATCTTTTTTGTGCTTGCACTGCCACCTTGTTTATGAAGTCTTTTGATTTATAGATATTTTATTTCAATATATTTTAATCTACCTTTTACTCTGTAGGATATACTGTATCCCCTCAGTCTTTCAAGATATAAAGGCCATGAATTTTTTTTTTTCCTTTTTAAAATACAAACATTTTGTTTGCTATGTCTGGGGAATTTATTTGGCGAGGAATTTATTTGGTTAGCTAATATTATTTTTTCTTCCATGTCAATCAATATTCCCAGGACCATTCATGAACAATTATTTCTAGCCTTGCCTATACCATATGTCAATTTTCCTTGAGTGTAATTTTATTTTTGGATTCTACATGCTATTTCAATGGTCTCTTCCTGTACTAATGTCACACTTTGTTAATTTATTGTAGCTTTAAAACAATGGATACTTGGTAGGGCAACTTCCTCTTATATCATCTCCAATATAATACTTGAAATCATCTTGGCCTTTTTTCCCATGAGAAGATTCTTTTATAATAGATAAAATACAGCATAAACCAACTAAAACTCAGAATATACCCATACCCTTTGCCCTAGCTACTGCAGAGGCTGAGACTAGATCACTTGAGCCCAGGAGTTAGAGCTTAGCCTAGACAGCATAGTGAGACCTTGCCTCAATAAAACAAAAATGAATAAAACAAAACCCCTATCAGATTAAGTTTAATTAAAGGTAATTACTTGGATTGGACTGAGAAAGTATACTGTTAGTCAATAACTCTCTACAAGTAGCATACATTATTTTTTAAATGAAGTACAAGACGCATACCTTAAAACCCACTATTTCAACCTGTAAGCCAGAGGCAGCCATGCAGGCCAGAAGGAGAACCAAGACAACCCCTGCACTCCCAAGAGCTGGCAGTAGTCAGCAGCAGTTGTGGGCCAGCAGGAGAACCAAGAAGCCAATCTGTGCCCTTCTGCAAGCCAGTGGTAGCCATACAGGCCAAAAGAACCAAGAAGACAACCTGCACTTTCCTATGAGCCAGCAGCAGTTGGGGGCTGGGAGGAGAATCAAGAAGACAACCTGTGCCCTCCTGTGAGCCAGCCAGTGCGCAGTCCAGGAGACAAGAGAGCCAGCATTTTCCGCTCAGCCCTGCCCCTGTAAGTAGCAGGCTAATTCAGATGAACATAGGGGAGATGATACCTGCTGAAGTAAAAAAAACAACTTAGAAGCTGGGCATGGTGGTGCACTCCTGAAATCCCAGCACTTGGGAGGCTGAAGCAGGAGAATCATTTGCAAATTTGAGACCAGCCTGGGCTACAAAGTGAGCCCAAGACCAGGCTGAACTGCATAGCCAGACCCTGTCTCAACAAGACAAAAACAAAACAAAACACCTCACAACTTAATGCTTGTATTGTCTGGTTGACTATACGCCTAAAGCATCTATTTAAAGGATAACAATATGTAATACAGCAACTACGGGGGATTTCCTCCTGTCTTTTTTTTTTTTTTTTTTTTAAATCCAATATTGTTTTCATTGTTTTGCTTTATTCCCTTTAAAATAAAATTTTAAAAAACCTTACCTCATTTTATACATTGTATCACCTAATATTTTTATTGGACCTTACTATCCAACCAGTTACTTTTTACATTATTACTTTTTTGCCTTTTACTCCTTTTTTCTAGGCTCAGCTTTCTTCTTTAAAATGAAATATATTTTTCAAAATTGAGTGAATATCCATTAGTGAAAGAACCCTAGGTTATATGAAAGGTATCTTCATTCTTGAATAACAGGTTAGAAGGATTTAGAATTCTAGATTGGTTTATTTTTCTTTCAGCATTTCCAAGACATTGTTTTATGCTGTTCTGGCTTGTACAGTAGCTGTCAGTATAAATGCCCTCCTTTTTACGTTTATCTGTGTTTTCTTCCCTGCTTGCTCTGAAGATCTCTTTTTCTTATTACACTCTGTATCTTTGCTATCATGCATCTAGTTCTATAATGGGAGTGAACTGCGCTTTTAAAGCACAAAGTTCCAAGTATGTGTCTTCAAATCAGGCAAATGCTTAACTATTATCTCTTGGGACATTCTCTTATCCCATCCTTCAGCTAACTCTCACTCTCACGTGCGCGCCTTACTAAATTGCATCAGCTGACCTCAAACTAGTAATTATCCTACCACAGCCTCCACAACTGCTGGAATGAGTAGGTGTGTGCCAAACACCAAGATATTCTTATTGCCTTAGATTTCAAATGTGTGTGACCTTATTTGAGCCTTATTATCACTGAATTTCTCTCTCATTTTCTATTTCTTTTTCTCTGCCTCTTTCTGCAACATTCTTCTTGCTCAATAATTCTTTGCTCAGTTACTACATCTAATCAGTCTATTGGCTCTTTTTACTATTATTATTTGTTGAATCACAAGGTTTAACAAAGGGGAAGGGCCTCAGCCCCTGCTCCAGACACAAAGGAGTCATGAACATAAACTATGTATTTTCAACTGACAATGCAAGTCAGTGAGTGCAAGTCTAAGACATAGACAAGGCAATGTGCAAAGTTTAAAAAAAAAAAAAAAAGAAAGAAAGAAAGAAAGAAAAAATAAAAAAAAGAAAAGCTGAGGACTGCTGGGGATGTAGCTCAGCAGCCTAAGCACCTGCCTGGCAAGTGCAAAGTTGTAAGTTCGATCCCCAGCACAAAAAAAAAAAAAAATTTAATTTTAAAAGTTTATTACAATAATATAGTATGTTTAGCTAATTCAGGTAGAAATATTGGAGGCAGTGAGACAGGGTTAAGCCCTCAAGGGAGTCAATACAAAAGATTAGAACACATTATAACTGTGGCTGGAGACACATCTGTTGCAGGCCAGGCTATTGGCATTAACTAGTCCAATAAAATCTAGCTAGACATCAGTCCTGATACCCTCTTTTACAAAAGATCTTTATTCTTTCATGTACACTTGCTATGTGACTTGCTTTCTCACTGAATCACAATTATTTAAGCAGCTACTTGTAATCTTATTGATCACAGTTTTGATCCATGTTGTACATCTCATGATTTTGTACTTTTGTGATTCTGGCTCTATAAAACTTCTTTTGAAGAGGTAGGCTTGTTAACGATCCATTTTCAGGTCCCTTCCTCTCTCTCAAGAATTATCTCTCTCAACAAATTTTTCCTACCCTTAATGTTCATTATTCCTTAGAATTCATGCTTTGATTTTGAGGAACATGAATTCGGTATATCTGACATGCAGCAAATTGAGAATTACGCATTATTTCCCCTATATCAGTTGGACACACATTGCCACTGATTTCTCTCAAATTACTTCCTAACTGAATATACTTGTCCCATCATTCTTGCCACTTTCTGAAGCAGTCTGGAAGTCTTCTTTTGTGTCTTTAGTTGCATTGTTGTTGCTGCCTCACTGTCCTGAATCAATTTGAAACATTGACTTTTCATGGTCCTTTGGATATTGGGGAAGAGCCAGAAGTAGCGTGGTGCCAGATGTGGTGAACAAAGTAGATTAGGATATACTGTAATGCTCTTGTAAGTCTTCCTTTTGTTGGATGGCAAGTGGCACTGGCATTCGTTGTACTATTTTTTTTTAATCACCCAGGCATGTGCATGCACACATACATATACACACACACACTTCACAAAGTGATAAGAACTAGAATAATTGTGTTTGAGGCAAAGGCTAGTATTTTTAGGAGGATTAATGGCACTGTGTTTTACTGTAATAATTTTTTTATTTAAACAATCACCGTGTATTTTGATTACTCCTTGTATGTTTGGATAGTCATGAAGAAAATATGCCACAGGGTTAAGCACTCAATCACGAAAAGTGCCCACTGAAAAAGTTC